AGAGAGATGGTCGAAGGAATGGAAGATAAGCATGAAGAAAAAGAGTAAAATCCAGACATTCATATACTGATTGCTAATTATCTCTATGGTGAAAAATTCAAGGCAGTTATATGGACATCTTCTGACCTAAGAGCTAGGATGATTCTCAGGTCCCAAATGGGTCTATGACAATTCGCCACTGCCAACTTGCCATAACCAATTTGCTGCAGAAAAACTCGCCACGGCCATCTCATCACAGGACAACTTAATGCGGAACAAGAGTTACACTAATATCAAAGAAATGGTGGAAGAGAATCATTCAAGAAAGGATGCAAAAAGAGGGACAGAATAAAATGTGAATGGCAAAAATTAAAATATTTGTAAATTTATTTTAAATAATTAAGTAGAATTGTTACATTGTCCCACAGCATGTTGGCCATGATGAATTGGCTGTGACGAGTTGGCCATGGTGAGTTGGCCACAGCAAGTTGGCTGTGGCAAGTTGTCCCATTCCCTTTTTGGAAAGGGTATGGATATCGACTGCTTCCCCCACTTCTGCATAGTTTCTTCTTCTAGGCCAGTGTTTCTCAACCTTGGTGACTTTAAGATGTGTGGATTTCAACTCCCAGAATTCTTTCAGGTAGGTTGAGAAACACTGCTTTAGGCAAAGAGAAGGACAGAATGATTATTCTCCATAGAAAGAGCTTATAAAATGAAAGGTATATTTAGGATTAATTCCTTTTGAGTTTGGTTATCCCCAATAGATTCCTTCCTCCCATACATCAAGTCAGCAACGCTGCAATGTGCCCAACCTTAGCTACATCATGCGTTAATAATTTAACTTCTCTCTGTATTGTGCATGTGTATTGGATCAATACCAGTATGTGTGCCACAATGCTTACTCCCAGGTAAGTAGACACACTAGGCCTGCCTAACTCTCCGAGGCTATACTTCCACTACATAATGTGATTATCTGCACTTACCGTGATGACTCACAGGTGGGTTTCCGGCGCCCCTGCGTGCATTTCTCCCAAACGCTGTTGGCTGTTTCGTTCCCGATAGAGGTGAGCACCAAGGTGAGCTCCAGGGGCCAGTCATCCAAGTCAAGAGAGCGCACCCGAGACAGGTGGGTGCCCAGATTCCGGTGGATGCCAGAACATTCAATGCAAATCAGCGCCCCCAGGTTCAGACTGGCCCAGGTTGGATCTGAAGAAAATGGAGGAATTAGAAATTAGGATGAAGGACAGAGAACTGCCCTTCTTTTTCAAAGCAAAGACCTGTTATTCTAAGCTAAAGGAATTGTACTGATGTGCTAAGTCACACCCAACCCAAGTTAGGATGAGAGGTGGTAATTAGCCAAGTGAGGGATATCCCAATGTAGTAAAGGGGGAAACCCAGCCTTCTTGGGAGTAAGCCTTATTATCAGGGAGCATTTTCGGATTTGGGCTTGGAGACTTTCCTTTTATAAAGGAAGAGAAAGGAAAGACAAGAGAGAGACAGAGATACAGACACACAGAAACACACACACACACACACACATAAACAAACAGAGACATCACAAGTTGACCAGCAAAAGGAAGGGTGAAAAGGACTCTGCAGTGGGACTGTTCTTCTGAACTCCTTTAAGTCTCCCTCCCCAATATTTTAAAGAGACCCAGCCTTGAAACAGCTTCCCTTTCCTATGAAGAATCAATCTGTTCCCTTAAAAAGGAGTGCTAGCTGGGATGCAAAGGAGCCAGATCTCGCATAGGAGAAGGCAGGGTCGCTGAAGTCTCCTCTGCTGAGGCTGGTAGGCCAAACCTGTCTGCTGGGAAATGACAGAAACATCTGTGCTGGAGATGGCTTATTTCTTTATAGCTAGACATTATCATTTAATACAATAATGCAATACAATAGCAGAGTTGGAAGGGAACTTGGAGGTCTTCTAGTCCAACCCCCTGCCTAGACAAGAAACCCTATACCATTTCAGACAAATGGTTATCCAACATCTTCTTAAAGATTTCCAGTGTTGGGGCATTCACAACTTCTGGAGGCAAGCTGTTCCACTGATTAATTGTTCTAACTGCCAGGAAATTTCTCCTCAGTTCTAAGTTGCTTCTCTCCTTGATTAGTTTCCACCCATTGCTTCTTGTTCTACCCTCAGGTGCCTTGGAGAATAGTTTGACTCCCTCTTCTTTGTGGCAACCCCTGAGATATTGGAACACTGCTATCATGTCTCCCCTAGTCCTTCTTTCCATTAAACAAGACATACCCAGTTCCTGCAACTGTTCTTCATATGCTTTAGCCTCCAGTCCCCTAGTCAGCTTTCTTGCTCTTCTCTGCACTCTTTCTAGAGTCTCCACATCTTTTCTACATTGTGGTGACCAAAACTGAATGCAGTATTCCAAGTGTGGCCTTCCCAAGGCATTATAAAGTGGTATTAACATTTCACGTGATCTTGATTCTATCCCTCTGTTTATGCAGCCTAGAACTGTGTTGGCTTTTTTGACGTAGTAATTGTCAGATTGAAGCTTCAAAGGAGACTAAAGAAAAAAGTTCCGTCCCTAAAAGCTTAAAGGTGCAGGTGGAAATAAATCCATCTATGTTCCTATTTCTCTGGTGTGTCTGGCCTCTTTTTCTTCTTTTCCTTTTCTTAAGATTTAAATATTGTATTGGTAAAATATAAAAACTAGAAGATATGATGAAGTGCAACCAACAATACAACATTGCTAATAAAAAAGGAATATATAAAATATAGGTAGTCCTCGACTTACAATGGTTCATTTAGTGACTGTACAAAGTTACAACATCACTGAAAAAAGTGGCTTATCATTTTTCACACTTATGACCATTGCAGCGTCTCCATAGTCATGTGATTTACATTCGGGTACTTGACAACTGGTTCATAGTTTTGATGGTTGTAGTATCCCAAGGTCATGTGATCATCTTTTTGGGATCTTCTGACAAGCAAAGTCATTTGGGAAGCCAGATTCACTTAATCACCATGCTACTCATTTAACAACTGCAGTGATTCACTTAACAAATGTGGCAAGAAAAGTTGTAAAACGTGACAAAACTCACTTAACAAGTTTCTCACTTAGCAACATAAATTCTGGGCTTAGCTGTGGTCGTAGATCAAGGACTACCTGTAACAATTAACTGAGTGACATTTGAAGAAACAAGATATGCATAAAATGCAGCTCAATCCTTTAATGTATAGTATTATTAAATCTATCCATATAGACCACCTATTACTCGTATTCTCAGTTTTAATACAGGATATTATTTCAGGGAGAGAGAATGAATGTAGGACAGTCTCATATATATTTTGGGGAGGACACTATGTTTCTGGGAAACCATTCATTATTGTGACTCTTGGGATTAAAACGGTCCATCATCCCCAGATTTAGTGAATGTCGGCTTTAAAGCACAAAGAACATTTCAAGTCCTGTTGTTTCATAAAGCTATTCTGATAGCCCCCAATTTTGCTCAGTCCATCACCTTAATAAGAGAAATATATGCATGTCATCCAAATCCTTTGAAACAAGGGATTAAAAATGCTTTTAACCAAGTCCATAATATACTTTTTCAGTAGATTGGAAGCAACAATATTGGATGCTGAATTAGAGTTAGCAATTAATGCCATACTGAGATTTGTACAGGAAATGCACCATCCCTATTGGGTTTATTTCTTGAAACAAGCAATCGTTTCCTATACAAGTCCAGCCAACATGCTCTCTAAAGTCAGCCTGTCCACCTTCCTCTCTTCAGTGCCCTCCAGCTTTGCTGGACTATAGCTTCCATCACCTCCAGCCATTCATGCCACTAGCTATGTGGGATGGAAATTCAAGAGCGCCCCTGGTTGAAAAAGCCTGAACTGCCACATACTTACTTAATGCCCCACAATCCACGCACAAAGAATTTCCTTTGGCATTTCGGATAGCCTGGATTGCCACTGCTTCACTCTGGCTATCCATCCGGGCCTGTTGGCGAAACAGAAGACAGATAGATGATAAAATGTCCATTGTTTCAGGGGTTACTTCACAGATTGCCCTAATTTTGACAGAGGCCTTGCAAGGCAGGGTAAGCTATTGCCTGCTATGTCTTGAAACACATCTTCCAAACATGTATGAAATTTTTGGATTATACTCCACTTCCATTCTCAAATACAACAGAATCTCTGAGGATATTCTCCCTTCCCTACATTTTTTTATGCTTGATATGAAAAAAATTAATGGTATAAGCCGCCCAGAGTCATTTTGAAATGATATGGGCACTGGGCAGCAAATATAAATGAAACAAACAAACAAATTAAAATGAATCACAAAAGTTGGCTTTATTTTCAGCAGGACCTACTCTGTGGGGCTATTCACAAAAGGAAACTCAGTTTTCCTTCTCCAATAGATCAATCAGGTTTTTTTCCCAATTTTTGTGTGTGTAATTGGCTTCTATTTTTCTTGCTTTTAAAAAGTTTGTGTGAATTGCAGCGATGTGGTTGAACTGCAACACAACCATTAATTAACCGTTAATCATTTGCAAATAATGCTCAAACTCTTCTTACCATGATAAGAGAATTATGACTGGGCTAAATCACTTTGAGTGATAGAATTCAGGAAGGAAGGGAGGGTGGGAGGGAAGGGCATGGCATGGGCAGGTAGCTCAAATGCTTCTGCCTAAGACATTGAAATTATGCGCATAAAAGTTTTAATTGAAAATAATTCATTTGTCTGAACCCCAAAGTTGAAAAATGAAGAGTCCAGAAATAGATTTAGTCAATCAAATAAAAAGTGTGATACGGTAATATTTAACACTAATATTTAATACTTTGCAAATGTTTTTGTGTAATATTTTGCAAATGTCCTTTTGTAATTATTGATAAATTACATTTATTCTTTAATCCTTTAAAATGTTGTATGCCTAATTCAAGTTAGGCCTGGGGATATTTATCTTCCCAGCCTGTTTTCCAACTCTCATCCTAATAACTTGCTCTCTGTGTGCGCTGAATATTAGAAACTGTGGTCTCTATTTAAAACTTCTTCTTTGCCTGCTTATTCTTTCCCTCTGGATTTTCTGGGCCTTCAGAGTTCAACCATTTGACTAAAGTTTTGTTATATTTTCAAATGTCCATTCATTCTGCCTTGTTTCCAGCCATCCATTGTATGTGATGATTACTGGAATGCTAGCATTGGAAGATAAACGACTTACAGCGATTTGTAAATGACCATACAAAGTTACAACAGCATTGTCCATGCCCCTCCTTTGCCTCCTTAAATACACTATATTGCCAAAAGTATTCGCTCACAACTGAGTCTGATTATGTGGATGGGTGAGCGAATATTTTTGGCAATATAGTGTATCTGGTAACCCAAATATGGATAGTGCATTTACAAATCAATCAATCAATCAATCAGCATAGAGCTGGAAGGGACCTTGGAGGTCTTCTAGCCCAACCCCTTGCTCAAGCAGGAGACCCTATACAATTTGAGACAAGTGGCTGTCCAGTCTCTTCTTAAAAAGCTCCAGAGATGAAGCACATATAACTTCTGAAGGCAAGCTGTCCCACTTCCTAATTGTCCTCACTGTTAGGGAGTTTCTCCTTAATTCCCGGTTTCTCCTCTCCTTGATTAGTTTTAATCCATTGCTTCTTACCCTGCCTTCTGGTGCTTTGGAAAATAGGTTGGACCCCCCCCCCCCGCTCTTTGTGGCAGTCCCTCAAATATTGGAATGCTGCTATTATGTCACCCCTAGTCCTTTTTTTCTCTAGACTGGTCATACCCAGTTCCTGCAACCGTTCTTCATGTGTTTTTGTCTCCAGGCCTTTAAATCATCTTAACTGCTCTTCTTTGCCCTTTTCCCCAAAGTCTCAACATCTTTTTTGAAATGGCCAAAATCACAACAGCCTTAGAGGCAATCAATACTTAAAGGCAGGATTCAATAGGGAAAGGGACAGCAGGAAGCTGTGTGGTTCAATACCTTGTTTTTGCTGCTTTCACAGCACTGCAAGCTGGCCAAGATCTGGCTCTCGATCGCTTGGACCCAGGAATCTCTCTCCTCAAAGCTGTTGGCCTCAAAGTGCCATGTCTGCCCTGTGCTGGAGACGATGATGAACTCAAAGTTCTCTTCCTCTGCGGATGCAAAAGAGTGGCACTCAGGTGTAATGAAATGAAGTTCAAACTGTCTTACAGTCCCTGAAGTTCAAACCATGTTACAGTCACAAACTGGTGTTGGGACAAAATCTGGGGGGGCCGGGAAAGGACATTCAGAAGTTAAATGAACACAAAAGAGGCTTGGGTTGTTGTTTTTTTAGCGCAGATGCTTAGGAAAAGTTGTAGGGAGATGATCTATTAGTATTAGGGACACAATTATCTAGCGTTGACGCAGGCCAACATTTAAAATTCACAAACAGCAAGAACCTGAAAGAATTCTACATGGTTGCTGTCCTTTCTGGGGGTGGGAGATCCCATTGATTCTATCAGCACTTCATTAGCTCCCAAGTTATTTACAACTTTAAAGTTATTTATGGAGCACTTTTAATTTGCAGAGCACATTTGTGCAGTGGAGGAATTCAAATTTTTTTACTACTGGTTCTGTGGGCATGGCTTGGTGGGCATGGCAGGGGAAGGATACTGCAAAATCCCCCTTTCCTCCTAACCAGCTGGGACTCAGGAGGCAGAGAATAGATGGGGGCGTGGCCAGACAGAGGTGGTATTTACTGGTTCTCCGTACTACTCAAAATTTCTGCTAGTTCTGGTTCTCCAGAACTGGTCAGAGCCTGCTGTATTACCACCTCTGCTCCTGTGTGTTGGCTTGCTACAGTACTCTAGGCTTAACTTGCTCATCCCTGAACTAGAGAGCAGAGTTAATGTGTGGAAACACAATACCACTTGACTATGGTTCTATAGGATAAAGGAGGTTTTGACTCCTCTTTTCCAGCCTCACACTTTGTTCTGAACATGGATGGAATTTGGGGCCACTCAAGATCCAGCCAGAACAGCAAGCTCAGGAGGCAGGAAATAGCAATAGCACTTAGATTTATATACCGCTTCATGGTGCTTTTACAGCCCTCTCTAAGCGGTTTAGAGTCAGCCTATTGCCCCCAACAATCTGGGCCCTCATTTTACCCATCTTGGAAGGATGGAAGGCTGAGTCAACCTTGAGCCGGTGAGATTTGAACTGCCGAACTGCAGCTAGCAGTCAGCTGAAGTAGCCTGCAGTACTGCATTCTAACCACTCACCACCTCGGTTCAAATGGACAGTGAATGATAATCAATGATGGCCAGGCAATTCCTCACCAGGTGAGGGCTCTGACAGGAACCAGGGCTGTGGTAGGGAGCAGAATTTTCTGC